AGGACTTTGAGATAGGCAGCTATATAAAATGAATGAATGAATGAATGAATGAATGAATGAATGAATGAATGAATGAATAAGTAAGAAAGAAAGATTGAATTGTTTGTTCATTGTAATCCACTATTCTGCCTCTGAACAGTGATCAAATATTCACAGAATATTCATATACTTTCTTTAATGTTTTGCAATCGATTGACAAATACCCAAGGTCTTTTATGGTAGTGTGTGTCAAAATCTGTAAGGTGGTCAGCACAGCATTGTAATCCAAACCCTGTGCCTTTTATATGTGCATCGTATGTGCACCATCACATATACAAAAGGGACAGACCTGGGACTGTGATGCTGCAACTGCATTCATGCATTTCGCCCCTACAGATGCTGCTGTAGATACTTAATGACTGTCAGATGACTGAGAAAATTAATTCCTTGAAAATCATTATAAGGAACTATGTCCATGACTTCATACTGCTCCTTATTTATTCAGACATCTCTTCCTCTTGATGTTATCAAGTGGTGCACAGGCATGAATTGTCCTCTGTTTCAGATGTATTGTCTGAATACATCAGACAATGCCATGTTGTTTGGATCAATTCAATCTACAATCCTATAAAAAGAAGAAAATCACCTTTGGTCTCACTCGTGCTTCACAATAAGAATTTTAGACCAGAGGCAGAAAAACATGCATTATTCTTACTCTGTAGCTTATTTATATTATTAACCAGATACAATCATTTAACCTTCACAAAGAAGAAAACCAGAGCCTAATCTATACTAACTTTATCCTAAACATACATTTTTAAAGTTTAACTTGTTGATCATTAAGAGATTCACCAGAGTTGGTCCATCAAGGGCCACTTGGTGCCATAAGAAAGCTAGCTCCAATTCACAATTGGAGAAGGGATGGCTAATCAAATGACTTAATGCAGGGACTCAAAGAAAGTGATAGATCACAGTTGGATATATGTATATGTATATATACCATATATATATCTCACAGGTGTATTTTATGTACATATACATATGAAAGCAAATACATAACTGATTACAATCCAATCAAGTTAAAGCTACTTTCACAAAGTCAATGCAATATCTTTGCCTCAATTACATTACCACTCAATTCTTAAATTCTTGTTAAGATTACAGTGGCTTGTAATTTAATGACTCCATATATTAGCGTATGCTGCAATGCCAAGAACACAGATACAAAATAAGCAAAAATGTCTAGTTCTAAAAGAACAATCAACCTCTTGTATTCATTTATAAGAGGCAGCAGGGATCATTATCCAAAGCTTTCTTCCCCCTGATATTGTGCAATTAACCCTTGCAACGGAGACCTCCTATTTCATTTGTTCAAGTACAGCATGAGGAACCAGTGTCTGGATCTTAGCTATCTAAAAGATGCTCAAGCAAGAGCCATGAAGAATACAAAGAGCAAAAGGCTGGGCAATTTCAAAACATATCACTTCATATTTCTTGCAACTTGGAGTTCCCATATGAGAAAAATAAACCAAGTTCAAAAATATATTTGAAAAAAATACCTGCCTGATAACTCATAACTCAGTTAAGTCATTGTCCTACCATCTCTTTCTTCTATGCAAATCATAGGTATGAAGAAAGCATTTCATGTTCACTGGGAAGTAGACAACTCTTAGCATTGTTTGAAGATCAACTTTCCTCCCATTACCTGTAAGAATCCAGCTGCCATATCTGGTGTTCTAGAACCAAGCAGGCTTCCAGTTTCTACTTTAAGATGTTTCGTGCACAATCACCCCAGAACAGATGAGTTGTATTCATTGGGTAAGAAGAGAGCATGAACAATTGGCAGCACAAGCTCCTTGCTTGATACCCAACCCATCAACAGTCACATTCATCCGCTCCCCCTCCTCCACTACACGGTTTACTCAGATGCTGCAGCAGCATTTTATACCAGAAACCAAATCCCATTCAGAGGAACAGACTTGGCAAAAGGTGGACATCATTTTAAATCTCTAAAAATGCATGGCCTGACATGATGGTAAGCTGTGCGCAGTGAGGATGGCAGATGGAGTGATTGATCTGCAGTGGCACTTGGCACAGAGAAGAGGCAATATGTGCATGCGGGGGTGCAATCTGATCAGAACAGTCCATTTCTCCTGGGCCAGATACTTTTGTTGGATGATGGGAAGGATATAAGAACAAGCTACAATCAATAGGACGGAGGCTGGGAAGCTCAAGATGCCAAGATTTTAGTAGCTGCACAGCAACAGGAAGAAAAGTCATCATGATAAATGGGTTAGTGGGAAGGATAATCACTTACACTAGGACAAGCATCTTCTCCTTGTTGCCCCACCAAAATATATAAGGTATCATTCTTCTCAAGTGTAAATATTCCCACGACATTCACGCCATGTGATCTCATCATACTGTTTTTCCCTTTGCCACCAGCTGCCCCATAGCCTGAGATGCTGCAAATAAAAGAAACAAAAGGGGAAAAAAAATGACCAAAGGTCATAAGAGAAATACAACCAGAATTATTTATTCTGACCACAGAATAACCTGGTACAGAATTTTGTTTTTTTTTCAGGTTTGTCATTTTCCAAACCTTGAATTTGCTTGGTAGCTAAGTGATTCATCTTGGCTATATCTCAGTGACAGTTTTAATTAGGCCCAGAATCTATCCTCTTCCAAGATGATCAGATCCTGGGAAAGGCTTGGCTGAAAAGGTTGGCTTCCTAGCTCCAAATGGCTCATAAAGCAGAGGGGATTCTTGGAATCTGACCCAATAATGCTCATGTGTCACTTTCCATAACCCAAGCTATCATTCTTTAATAAGGCAGCAACGGACACAAGAGAGGACATGATGGCCACAGGATAGGATCCCCTGAACAGATGCTAGAAGGAATAGGAGCCACTGAGCTGGTTTTCAGCAGGAAACTATAATGGCTAATGAGGTGCACTATTGAGCAAGGCAAGCTGGCAGGGCTAATTGGCTGCAATTAGGGGCCATATTTTTCTGTGTAAGAGTAGATTTTGCATATAAGCAATAAAGTCAGGAACCCAGAGAGACACTCTTAGTGCCTCATTCACCAGCTGTGAAGGAAGAAGAACAGACAGCTCCAGGTCACAACTCTACACATTTGTCAAAGCCTATAGCTACAAAGAGAGTATTTGTTCTGCCATCAATAATGGATTGCAAATTTGCACAGTTTCTATAGTGCCAATTATCATCTTGTTGGAATGAATGACAGTAGCTGAAGCAACAAGAATGTATAAAATGGTCTTTTTGACAGGATTTGTGGATACAGAAATGGGGATCTGGTTTGCAAAAGAAGCCTATGCTTGCTGCATTATGATGTTTGGAGGAACACTAAACCATGCTGTAAGAAGCCAAGGCAAATGTTTTAAACATGGTGGTTTTTTCTATGTCAAAGTAATTGGTTTGACTTGGGACATGGAATAACCACCACAGAATTTGCGTGGCTCTGAGGAATTTGGATAAAGAACATTAATAAATCGAGGTCTTAACCTTCTCCTCCCTTGGATTTATTGCATTTATTTCCTTGAGTTCTATATACTTCTCTCTTTCCTATAGAAGCACCTGTTAGAGGAACATAGAGTTAAAAAAAAAAACAGTTTAAAAATACATATAAAACTTGATAATTCCATTCTGTTGTCACCATTAAGCAGCAGGAATAAAATTAGTAACAGAACAGGCTGTGGTACTAACATTAAAATTAAAAGCTAACAATTTTTTTTTTAAATCCTAACCTGGTACAAAAAACAAACCAGAATGAATACCAGGCATACTTTCTTTAGAATGCATTTCAAAAGTGAGGGTTTACTACTGAGGAGTATCCACAAGGCCCTTGGCAATAACCATAAGGAGATGGATCTGAATGTACAGAACCTTTACGTTTGCTGTTGTTGACAGAACCAATTATCTGTGTCTTGCTACTTCACTAATAGTTGATCAGCCAAATGAGAGAAAAAATAAATTGGGGTGGGTGCCAGTCCCAAGAGGAAATGCTTAAGTGTTTAAGGGCATGTATTATCCTTACGTGCATTAAAAACTAGAAGAGCATATATATCAAAAGACGAGTGTACAAATCTATAGATACCAGAACAGTTGTACGGAGCCTGCTTATGATGACTCTGCACTCAGCCATAGTTTCCTTTTGGCTCTTCATGCATCCATGTGGACACTCAAACAAAAAGGTTTGTACTCACTTTGCTGATAAGGAGTCGTGAGAAGTTTAGATTAAGGAGAGAGAGAGGGAACAGATAATGGGGTGGCAAAGAGGCAAATCCTAAACAACCCCCAGGAAGGCTGTGGGAAGAAGAAGCTTCAAAATGGAGGTGATGGCTGGCAGCTAAAATGGCTAATATGGACATTAATCTAGTGGTTGCTGAAGATATGTTGTTGGTTTCAATCCAGAGAAAGATTGGAGAGTGATCCTAAAATGGATTAGGTGGTGCTTGCACTGTTGAAAGCTTGTTAGTTTGTAAATGGTGTGAAGTCCATGAACCATTCTAAAGAGAAGAGAACTGGCCTGGGGCCTCATCTGCTTTTTGCAGAAGACTCTTGGTAGGGTTGAAGATGATGGAAGAGGAGATCAAATGTTTACTTGTCAAAGGTCACCAGCTAGAGTAAGGCCTGCTGCCAGTTTGTCTGACTAAAAGAGAAAACATTGCCACTAATATCTGTAAGCCTTTTATTAACTTAGAGTAGATAGCTCTAGGATTGAGCACCTGTATGTTAAAGCTGTAAAGTAATCTGCACCCATACACCTGCTTAGAGTGGATTAGAATGAAAATTGGAATTAAGAATAATAATAAAAAATGCTTGTGTACTTTTGAAACACCGTCTGAAGAAAAGGCAGAGAAAACTATTCCTATTGGCATGCGAGACAATTAGAAGCTGTATATCATACTTGCAAAGCTTGAGGTTGAAAAAACAAAACTGCTTTTGTTGTGCTTTACTGGTACTGTAGTTTAAAGAAAAAGGGGGAAATCCCTGGAATGCTGTTTTGCATTGCCTCTTTCAATTAAATCCTTCAAATCCTTGGACATACCTTGTGGCATGGCCAATAAAGGAAGCAAGATTAGACCTTGTTATTATGTTATTATTGGATTGAACCTAACTGGGAAGTTGAAAAAAACATCCTGGAAGAAGGGAATGGCAAATCACTTCCATGCTGTGTTAACTAAGAAAACTATATGATCATGTTCATATAATCACAGGAATCCAGTTCAGCTCAAGGGAGTCTTCATCTTTCTAATCCTTTTTCAAGCTATTGTTAATAGCAAATGAGAATCACATTTCATTTGATCAAAGCACTTTTCATTAGCAAAGGTTTTATTAAAAATATACTTAAGAACCTAATGAGGAATAGAAAGACAGATACCTACAGAATATTTGTACTGCAATACATATGAAACTGCATGGAATTCTCCATGTAGATACTAGGAGTCAAGAATGACTCAAATACATATACAGTATGTGTGTGTGTGTGTGTATACACACACACACACACACACACACACACATATTCATTTTGTTTCAAAACTTTCAAACCTCCAACATTCTCTATACAGTAATTTGGAGGGCCAGGTTTCTGCATTCTGTAATAGTATAAAAACAAAGTGTTTCCTGAGAAGAAACTGTCACATTTTTACAAATATGAACATGTATACATGTACACATATTTGTATGTTAATCTGAGCTGTGGTGGGGAAAAAGGATTTTATGCAGTGAAACTAAAAGGGAAAGGATTACAATGAATGAACCACCTGAAGCTCAAGTCCACAATACTGAAAATCATAATGTTCTTGCAGTTGTTGTTGATGTCCATTCCTCTCCCCTGGTTCATTTAGAGATGAAAACCTCTAGCAACAATGAGAACTAGTCCATTAATTATAAACAAACATAGTTTATATAAGAGGGCAATGCATGAATGCTGCGATGGTGGTTGGCACCAGTGGTGCCTCCACCCAAAACACATCAGAATGCACAGGACTCATAGTTGACCATGTTATTTTGCATGTCAGGCAGAAAATCTTTCCAGCACTTTGCCCCCAACAATAACCTTAAAAAGTAATGCTTTTCTGCCCTTTCCCAACATCCCAAATCAGCCTTATTCTCCTTTAAGATATGACTTTCTCTGGAAAAAGCTAAAGATATGACTGAGCTGGAAACCGGGAGAAATTTCTCTGGTTTGCAAGGAGTCATTGATGATGGGCATTTCCTAGCCCAAACCAAACCAAACCAAACCAAACCAAACCAAACCAAACCAAACCAAACCAAACCACCCACATCCTAAATTGTTGCCTGTAAGGAAATAATTCTCTTCCCTCATTATCTACCTGAGAATTGAGTCTGCTTTCATTCCCTGGCAAGAATAGAATAAAGGAAAATAAAGGAGTAGGCAGCAAATACAAATGCCTGCAGACATGTATGCCTCCCCCCCCACAAGGATGTTATTGTGGAAATGTTAATACCACAAGCAGCTTATAGTATAGCATGCTGGCTGGGAATTTCTGGGAGTTGAAGTCCACGTTTCTTAAAGTTGCCAAAGTTGAGAAACACTGCTATAGGAGATGATTAATTGGTGTTACAAAGCATAGTCCTAGATTGCCAGTGGGTAAATCAGTTACCAGCCCTTTCTAACACTAATGTTCATATGGAATCTAGCTGAGCGCATGCCACTAAAATATATATTAGACCCTTAATCTTAGGGAGAACCACTAATAAAACGCCCCACATGGACAATTTGTTTCATATTCGTTGAATTGATTACCTTTTTTTGCTCATTTGTAAGGGATGCCCCTTTAAAAAAAATGCTCATTTTGTTCCACTTTAGCCAAAATGGAAATCCTCCTTTTGTCCGGTGTCATACCCCACTCCCCATCATGTCTTGATGTATTCTAAGGATCAAAGAGCTTCAGCTGATATCATGCAAGGAGCCAAGGCCAGCAGTGCTGGGGATCTAACAACAGAAACAATCAAAAGTTGCTAGGGAAATTGACTTGGAGGAATGTTCTTATCAAATCAGTTAAGCCCCTTGCAGTAAATGCTCTCAGGCAGAGATGCAAATCAAAGAAATGTGCTTCCATGATGTGCTAAATAAGCTGCTATGTCTGGTATTGTGCAACAGGTCAAGACAGCCTGCAATACAGAGGATGTTGGGACTCAACGTATCTCTAAAATAGGTGGAATTAAGCATTAAAACATGAAATACAAAATGCACAACACCCCATTAAAAAAAAGCTAGATAGTATATTGATGATCTGTAACTTTTGATCTACTTGCTAGTGTATCAAAGAACAAAATCAGCCTTGGGATACTATTGAATTTTGTTTCTTCCCCCAGCATTAACTTTAAAGAAATGAGATTTCTGTGCATATAATTTACTACTCTTCTCTTTTACATTAGGGTGATATTTTATATGCACACATACTACATGCAAGCCTTGAAAAATTCTTCCCACCTGTTTTCCCATAGGCAAGTCATTCTTTTCTAAATGGCTGAATGAAACGTCATTAGTTTTTTCATTAGCAGCAATTTCCCTAAAAATGGACAGGTAGCAGATTTGGGGCCTTTGCTAGTCAATTTCACCAAGTTGTATCTTAGCCATTTAAACCACTATTGGATAACTTGGGGTTTGTGGGGAGCTCAATCAATCAATCAATCAATCAATCAATCAATCATCTAATCTATCACAGAATATGTAGAGATAGCCCTTCAGAGTCACCAGCAGTTTTGAAGGTTTTCATCAAAATCACAAAAGCAAAATTGTGGGGACTTCTGGTGAGTAGACTAGTTCCTTGGAACCTCTCTGGATAAGAAGAGGATGGGTTCCACATGCGCTCCAGACACCTGCTCCTCATGAGGACAGCAGTTTTCCACGGGTTTGAGCACCAGGAGATGACAGGATTATCACTTGCAACCAGAGCGGAGCCTTTTAAAGGACAATAAATTCACAATCCTCACTTTCTAATCACTTTTGCAAATTGTCTATTAACTGTCTTAAAGCTATTAGAGACCTTCAGAATGACAAGTCTGAAAAGTCTTCATTGGGTGAGTTTATATTCAACTCTAAACAAAAGAAAAATTACTTATAAGCTTAAGAAAAAGAATTTGAAATAAACAGCACAAAGCTAAATAAGATTTTGATCTAAGAAAGTTACAAATGGATTAAAGGTCCAGATAAATTTGTAATATTGACTTTTACTATAAGTATTTGGAATTAACTATAAAAAATAAACAGCTTCTCATGGGGAACAAACTTATTTTGATTGTCTTGGGTCACAACAAAGATAAGTGATGATTTTAGAAATTGGACACTAGAGGAGAGTAAAGATTCTAAGCAGAAGAAAAAGAAATACAAGGCTATTCTTTATGTCAGTTAATACTGGGACTTACAAAATGGCACAAAATGTTATAACATTGGAAATATTAAAGGAGATCTTTGAAGAATGGAGCCAGAAATCAGTAACTGAAATACCAACACTGTCAGCAATGATGTCTGCTTCTCTGGCTGGACTATGTCTAAAAGATGTTACTGAAGGAATGACAGATGTGGAACAAATTTTATCTAACAAGACAGAGAAACTACCGAAAGTGGAACTACAAATGACGGACCAAGATAATGATTAGGAAAAGGATACTTTATTGGACATGCAAAAGAAACTGGCTGAAGTTTTAAAAATGAAAAGGGAAATACAAATGATAAACCAAGAGAATGACCTGGAAAACGTTTTCTTACTGGATCTACAAAAGAGACTTGTCTGTATGTTGAGATAAAGAAGAGGAGAAATCAAATCCTATGACAATATTTGATTGACTTAAATATTAAGACTGTTAGAAGTAGAAGGAAGGAATATAAAGTTGTTTTATTCGATCAAGGTTAAAATAGGACTTTTTTTTTGCAAAGTTCTGGCAACCTTTTATGGACTTTTTGCTGACTCCAGGATTGAAAAGTTGATGTTTTATGGATTTGCTGATAGATAAGGGATGGGATATGGAATGAAGAGATATCTGTTTGTAACCTTATAAGAGGTAAAGAGTTATTAAATTTGTTTATAGTTGTTGTGATTAAGGTTGGAAGTAACTTCTTTATATATTTCTTTTCTTTTCTTTTCTTTTCTTTTCTTTTCTTTTCTTTTCTTTT